AATGCAGTATGCATAAAAATAAAACTTAAAGCAAAAGACAACTTGATAAAGAAGAAAGATTCCTACAAAACCAAGAGTCTTTAAGGTCAATAGTTTCAACTTGTTCCCCTTCATCAGTGAATATCATAAGACCTTAGCTAAAGCCAAAGCCAAAAAACCATTCTTAAATAAAAATTTCAACAAATATACTTTAAGTCATCAATGATAGCTTAGGAAGCACGGATACGAATATGGTGATATCGGGATGTGGATATGGCGATATGTCAAAATTTGAAAAAGTATGATACGGATACAGCGGGGATACATTCATAATTTTTTTTTTTTTTATAATTTTAATAATGTAATATGCATGAAAATAAAACTTAAAGTAAATTAATAAATAAAGAGAGGGATTCCTATTAACCTAAAAGTGCTCAAACATTCATAAAACATCCAAAACTAAAAGCAAAAGCAAATGCAAATTAAACATCTTCCTTACATGCCAACACCCAAAAAAGAATGAGAGCAGAGAGAAGAAACGTGAGAGAGTGAGAAAGCGAGAGAGAAGTGAGAGAGACAACAAGGATACATCAATTTGACAAATTCTATTACTTTAGCTCTCACTATATTCCTCTTATGAAATAACTAAACAAAATATTATAAGTAATATGTAACTTCGAGTATCCGATACTTTAAAATTAAGCATCTGATACTTCAAAATTAATAAAAAATTAATTAAGAAGTATCCGATACGTATCCGCGAGTATCCGAAGAGTATCGGTATCCGATAAGTATCCGATACGGATACGTTACCCTTTTTGAAGTATCCGTGCTTCATAGGTCTTAATATTGAGGCGACTCCTTTCAAACTTGAGGATCATATCAAAATCAGATTTGGGTCAAAATCTAAGGGTTTGTGTTTAATATGGGTGAATTTTCAACAAAACCAAAAGCATGGTCCAAAATTGTATCTTGCTTTGCTTTAACCAGCATATCCGGTATCCCAATCTGATGGAGCATTTGTTTTTAATGCTAGGTTTGTCTGAACCAGGGAAGGAACAGTACTAGCCTTCACCCATCACAGTCCATCTAATTCCAGAAAAAAAAAAACCCACTCAGCAAAAGGTCCAGTCTATCTGATCCCTAAAAGCCAGCTCAGAAAAGATCCGATCCCATCAAGTATAACTGGGTTGAAATCCTTGTTAGTCAGCTCTTAGCTTACACCCATCCATTTCCTCGATTGCCAACTCAGCAGACCCGTGATGACACATAGTCCAAAAGAAGTTGTGGCCATGATAATGACGTTAAACCAGGGAATTGCCATGCAGGATGAGACCAGTGCTAAAATGCAACGCCCATCTAGGGCATCTACTACACTTTCAGTCCCGGGCCCCCAGCCGAACTTTGATCCACCTCCGCCAACTGAAGATTTGCAAGGTCCGGATCCTCGAGAAGGGTTGACTCAAGCTCAAGTTCAAGTTTTCAAACCCCTGTTGCAGCCTAATGAGGGGCTTTATCCCATTGATACTAATGACCTCGATCCGACCTTGTTAAAAATTGCTAACCTTGAGAAGTAATTCAAAAAGGCACAAGTAATTACCTCCATTCCCGACATTGAGGATGGGTACACCGAGGCTGCCGTAAGACTCCCAGACAGATTCAAAATCCCACACATTGACCGTTTCGACGGGTCTGGAGATCCTATGGTACATATCTAGCTTTTATTGGACGAACTGAAACCAATGGGTCTGACTAAGCCTCAGAAACTCTCTCTGTATGGAAGAACCTTGTCAGGCATAGCAGCCACTTGGTATGCCAAGTTGGAGGATAAAGTGAAGCAGAATTGGGAAGAGTTGGCTAAGGCGTTTGTCAATCAGTACTCTTACAATACCCAACTTGAAATGACCATTCAAGAGCTTGAAGTAACCTACTAGAATCCTGGAGAACCTTTTGTGGAATTTGTTGCAAGGTGGAGAGAAAAGGCCGCACAAATGACAGATTGACCTTCTGAGAGGGACCAAGTGCAAATAGTGGTGCAAAACCTTGAGCATGATATGCTACAAAAGTTAATAGTTGCTCCACTATTTACTTTCAAAACTTTGCATGAATTAAGGGTTCAGATTGAGAGTGCATTTAACAGAGGGATTATTCCCTAAACAAGTGAACCAACGAGGGTGTTTTCCAGGAGTACCAATGCTATTCCCAAACCCACTGAAATCAACACCGTCGCCACTCCCAAAACTGCCGACCCATTTGCCAATGCCAACCCACAAACAGCCGGCCCA